GGTAAAAACACAAAACTGAGAAAGACTCTGACAGTCTGACTATGAGGGAGCAACCCTGAGCAGGGTTAGAGATGCCTCCTTAAATCTAAAGGATTGAACATGGACTTCTTTCAGGATGAGCAATAATCTAATAGGGGCTACTTTGCCAAAAATCCGTGTGTTCCTTTGTTTCCAGATATAAGCCAACAGGCCATGACGAAGATGCCTAAGAATCTATTTCCCGAGAAACCAGCAGTATGATGGTGCAGCATGTCTTCGATACCATTTCTCTGCCGGTCTGCCCCACTGAATGCCAAGCTTGTTACAACAATTGACATTAAAGGGGCAAAAGAAGGAAAGATGGATGCTGGTTTTCTACTGCCCGTTGCTGCAAAGGACACAAGAGTTACCATTGGAGATAGTGAAATGCCGCGCAAGAATTTCTTTGGTGTTTAAATGATCAAACTAAATCAATGTCTAGAAACTCCATGCTGCGGAATTCTTATGTGCATAACTCTACTAAAGTGAAACATCACCAGTCTTTCTGCAACTCTTGATTCTGCGACTGAGGGAAGTGATACCCAGATGTTATTACTAACAATTTGACAAAATGTACCAAAGAGCAAAGACAGCTTGAAACTTTTCCTCATATGAGAAGTTGAAAACCCTTGTGCATAACATTAACAAATAATTAAAAGAAATCATCGCATGCTTCGGTTGCCGGAAATAAATAATGCATGCTTTGAGGAAGTACAAAACATTAATACTTGCCAACTCTTTAGATACAAGTACTAGTAATGAATCACACGTAACAGGCATTACTACATTAATTGGGACAAAGTTAAATAATGGAAGTAAGAGATTATTTGAGGCATGGTACCACAAAACGCTTACCTGGGAAAGGATAAGAACTCTCTGCCTTTTTTCCTTGATTAATCGGAGCATTTTCTCAAGAAGCAGTAGCTTGCCACTTGCACGAACTTCAATATCCAGGATATCAGTTACTGGGTGGCCCTTGGGAAGTGAGTCTAGCAGCGTTTCATCTACTAGATAAGGGTGGTCGCAGCACTGTTGCATGATAAGATCAGTAAAGACAGTTAGCTATGCACAATGAGTACCATTGCAGATTCCGTCTAACTCCCTACTGTGAAAAAAGGGTACCATGCATGCTCAGAAATTTTAACAGCTAACCTTCCGGAGGGATACAAGAATGTTGCGAAGAGCACCAACACTGTCAGTTTTTTCATTTGATTGAAGCGCTAGTGAGTTTGAAAGCAAGGTATAACAGTACATTTCTAGTTGCACTCGTGAAAGGCGAGCAGGAACCCAGTACTCCACAAATTTTGACGAGTCCACTTTCTGGGCCATTGCAACATGAGGTGTGAACTCTGAACAGTTATCAGTTGGCTCTCTAGCGTCCACTGCAGGACTGCTTTCAGCCACCATATTCTGTGAACATAGATCAGCAGTCATATGTGCCTGTACAAGAACTGATAATGTAACCAACTCCTTTGATACAGATGGTAGGATGATAAGAAAAGCAGCATTGCAAATAACAAGCCAACATATTGAGGCAACAAGGATGTTACAGAAAAATCAAGCATATGAGTTGCTAAAAGGAAACTATACAGGGTATCCTGTCAGGTGGACACTGCGTCCTGCATAGGTTGTAATGAAGCTCAAGACGTTATATGAGATAATTCAGGTGCAAATAAAGAACATTTTGATGTATTACTGGAATATGTGTTTAGTTATTTACTTCTATTTTGCTACTCGAGAGTTACGAGATATAAAGGATGAAGGAAAATAACAATGACACTTACAGTAATGCTTTGTAATAATGTAAGGTCAAGAACTGTAATAATGTAAGCACAAGAGGTGATATGTGATCTAGTAGCAACAAAAGAACATATTAATCTGTTACCAGAATATGTTATTTAATTCTATTTTGCTACTCCAGGGTTAAGACCTATCAAGGATGAAGGCAGAGGGGACTGGTACTTACAGCAACACCATGATTTCATAAAGAGTAGAATCAAAGAAACAACAACTCAAGAATAGAAGATGGTTGAGCAAACCTCCGAAATGGGAGCAGATTTTTCAACATCAGTTTTCGACCCATCTGTCTCCAGTATCAACTCGGGAGCTTCACACCGACCAGAAGTACAGCCTTCACAAAATTCATTGACGACTTGACTTAAATGTGCCTGGTTATCTTCTTCGTGCGCGCCACTTTCTTCAAACCTCAAAACAGAGCCATTGTCTTCCACAGTTAGCCTTTTATGCTGCTTCAGTGGCCTGGTACCGCTCTCAGAAGCATCATGCTTATTCTTGGTTGACTTACGTTCATCAATTTTCCTTTTCACGGTTTTGCCGAGAGCAGCCACTTGACCAGGAGAAACTCCAGTTGAATCATTTGAAGCAGCAGAAGCTGAAATGGTACTTTTCTTTACTCTGTCAGACGTTTTGGGGGAACTAGGCTTCCTCGTCGACCCTTTTAGCTTCATTGCTGACGATTTCAGGGAATCAGGTGTGCTGGGGTTGCTCCTGCCCCTCATAGATGTCTGCGAAACCGGTGTAGCTGCAGAACTGGTGGTGGTCATCACAATGGGATCCTTTCCTTTTGTTTCTCGATTCAGCATCCTCAGGTTTGGCTTCGGCTCATCGCCTGTTTCACGCACAGACGAGGTGGAGGTCGTTGCGGACTTGGGGTGCTTTGCATTGGTGGCGGCGCTGCCTTCCCTTGCACTGGTGTTGGTGTCCCCTGCTCCCTCATTGTTCGCCCCTCCTGACCGGGTATTGGCCATCAGCTTCAGTAGAATCAGTCAACGCATTAGGCAGGACACCTAGAATAACGCAATTTCGATCAGAAGCAAAGGGGGGTCGGGAATTTGGCAGCCCAGAGGTACGGGGGCATGTGCATCACAAAAGTTGGGGTTTTTCTCTTTTTTTACCTCGCAGTCGAACTGCTAGGGAGTCGTTCGCCGTGGTCGAGCCGGCGGGCACAGCGAGGCTGAGCGAAAGAAGAGAGACGGCGAAGGCGGTGCCGGGGTAGAGCTCCTGCGGCGGGCCGTCGTCTTGGTCGAGCTCCTGCGGCGGCTGGCCGGTCACTGTGGTCGAGGTAGATGGGGGTGGCCGCGGAGCGGAGGAGAGGAAGCCGGCGCGACGGAGGTGGATGATGGGGTGGAGGCGGCCGACGGCGGTCTTGCGGCGGCCCGCCGGCGGCAATGTGCGAGCGCGCCGGTGGCCAGCTGCTGGACGGCGGACGAGAAACCTAGAAATGGGGAATGTCGCGGGGTCGGGGATTGGGGAACCGATTGGATTTTTACAGTGGCAAACAGGAGTAATTTGTCACAACTCTGAAGTTTTTTTTTTATAAGGAAGCCGTATTCCACTGATACGTGCCACGGGAGCCAGTTCTTTTATTATAACACAAATAAAAGGGCAGGGGAAATCTTAATGCAAATGAAATAACCAAAAGAAGATTACCTAAGACATAAGATTTCAGAACATTAGGGTGAAATCTAATAATTATCTACTAGATGACATGATGTAAGCAAATAGATTAAATCCAATTTAAACATCCGCAATTAATCCCATATTGTTTTTACAGATTTAAAGGTTGTTTAACACTCTCTCTCTCTCGCTCCCTCCATCTCTCTCTGCGAGCCAGACATGCACCCTCTCATTCCGTCACATGGGAATGGCCGGGGCGGGTTTTAGGCCGGGCTTGACAAAGCCCAAAGTGAAAATCCCAAAGTTGAGCCCGACCAAAGCCCCAAAACATGTGCTTTCTCAAGCCTGAGCCCTACCCGAATGCAAGCCTGGAGGCCCAACCCGCATGCAGATTTCCAGTCTACGCACGTGTAAGCTCGGTCCTAAGCCTGAAAGCCCGGTTTGAAAAGGTGAGAAACGGAAGCCCGTGCCCGGGCCGAATATTTTCTTAGGCTGTAAAATGAAGCCCGAGCCATGCCTGAAGAGGCAAGCCTGGCCGGCTTGGCCAAGGTTTTTCGGGCTGGACTACCAATGAAAACGTTTAGGTGTTGCCATTTATCAGCCTCTCAATCCAGTGCAGTGAGTTCTATGCACGGTTGACCATAATAGCAAATGAACTGAATAGTTCCTAGAAAATGGGGTTGTTCCTCCAATCGAGAATTTTGCAATTGTCTACATAGATGATTGGTCATGTTTGTTGCCAATTTGGTACCAAGATAAGGAACAACAAATATATAATACATGTGCAAGTTAAGTTCCAAATGAGTCATACAAATTGTTGCATTGAAGATGTGTCACTTTATGATGCTTGGATCCAATAGTCTAGTCTAGTGTGTCGGGCATTTATTGATTAGAGCATCTATAGTTCGACGCCCCAAACCCGCCTCAAACGCCCTGGCGGATGGCCCGGTCACTGATCAGTCACAAAAATCCGACCCATATGGGCTCCTTAAACGGGCCTCAAACGCCCGGGATGACCGGCACCTCTCATATCCAACCCAAAAATAGGGCGGATATGGGGGCGTCCGGGAGCGTCCGTCACGTCGGACCCGACAACCCGGCCCCATCGCAAATTGCACCAAATCCACCAAACCTTTCCTCCCCCTCCTCCTCCAGTCGCCCTCCTACCTTTCCCGCGCCTGAGCCCTCGCTGTATGCCACCCTTGCTCCCCATCCTCACCACGGGTCTCGATCTGCCGTCCTAGATGTCATGCTCATACATATGTTGTTTGCTAGATGGCGAGGGCGACCACTTTGTATCACGAGATGGAGAAGAAGGTGTTTGCTTTTAGCCATTGTTTGATCTTATTGATTGGAGTGTCAAAGTGGACACAGCTTGTGGTTGATGTCAAGGCCGACAAGAGGAGGAATGATGGCTCAAGCCCCCACCAATCAATCGGGTTGGACGATGGAGAGGACGATGTTGTCGTCGAGAATGGAAAAGCCACCGTGCCAAAGGATAACCGACAAGTCATGGGAAACAAGTGGGAGAATATTGAGTTGGAGAAGCAAAAGGCGGCGATCAAATGGGAACTCGAGAAGGCCAAGACATTTGGAGAGATTGAGCTTGAGAAGTAAATGTTGCAACTCGCACAGGACGCAGAGGATGTGAAGATCATGTTGGCGGACGAAACCCTCTTTGATGAGCATGCAAAGAAGTGGCTTGCGGATAAGAAGAAGGAGATCAACAAGCATAGGGTGTACGAGGCGGCGAGGGCGGTAGCGGCAGCGAAGCATGCGACAAGGATGTAGGCGGAGCAGGAGGAGCATGACACAAGCATGGCCTCGAAGCAGGCAGCATGGATAGCGTCCGGCCAGTGATCCGACAAGCGAGCCATCCGTCACGCTAGAACATGGATTTCATTTTGGCATGTCCGGTTTGTTGAACTATGATTTGCTTTGCTTTAGTTTCGGATTGTTGAATTCAAACAATTTGTGTCGTATGATCGACGTGCATGGATTGTATGGATTTGAGGATCCGAATTTGAGGTATGTGGATGTGTGGCGCAAGATATCAAGGGTCGGACGCTCTCGCGGCCGTATAGGGGGCGAATTTGCCAAGTCCGATTGTAGATGCTCTTATAGGGAGTTAATGGAAGGTGGAGAACTGGAGACAGCAGCAACCATGTGGAGTAAGCCAAATGTTCTTGATAGTGTCAAAAGGCGGTGTAGATCCAACTAAATTTTAAAACTTTGACTTATATTAGGACAAAAGATAGAAGTGCACTTGTTCCGGACGGAGGGAGTACTGGCTACTGATGCTAGGGTAGCATCCCCATGTGTATGTATGAATATTCTTGATTGATAGTGTCGGTTTTGGGTAGATATAAATGAGCTAAAATATAGCAATACTTGCACATTATCGAATTTCTTGTAGATTGCTGCATACTTGCACAACAAGCAATTGGGATGTACTACTAATATCGAAGGAGGCCAAATGATGGATGTCTACACAGGAACTCAAATGGTCAAAAGCCCACCCACCATCCAGGGTATAGACCAAGGAAGCTGCTATTGGACTGCTCGCTCAATGCCGCTTATTACTGGGATCTTCTCTCCACACCAAACGTGATAAAGCTTTGCTCTTGGCTTGCTTCAGAAACCTTGATGATCCAGTACTCTGCATCTACTCCCTCTGTTCATAAATACTCCTATTTAGAAACGGAGGTAGTAGTAAACTGACTGGAAAGATACTAACTGCCTGTGCAAAAGGCTATCTAGCTAGGTCTAGGATCAGTCAAATTCAAATAGTTGACTGCAAATTATGGAGTAACAATTTGTTTTTTGAATGAACTTCTTACTGGAGGAGACAGAGTCTTCAACTTGCGTGAAGTAAAGTATATATAGTTTCCTGCTAACCTTCTCTGCTTTCAAGACTACGAGCTTCTGATCTGCAAACGCACAACAAGTTGTCTAGTTAGGCCATTTCCTCCTGTGAGAAAGAACCTGAATGTTGTGGAGTAACTGTTGCAAAAATACACTCACAGAACTGATAGAAAAAAATGTAAGAACCTGTGAGAAAGAACCTGAATGCCGTACCTCTTATTAACACGAGATGAACCAAGTTCTATGGTGGCTACATGACTCCGCAAACTTGAGAGTACTCATTGTTTCACCAAAAGCACCGCCCTCATGATTCACAAGCACACACACAAAGAACAACAAATGGATGGCAATGTTGGCATTCTTGACGAAACAAAGCCATAAATCTTGAGAGATTTTGTGTACACCTGAGACATGTACTTGCGTTAGCTTACTATTTCGGTATGGAACGTGTGACACTTCTAGGCTAGTGCAGATGATGATTTGTTCAGTCAGCCAGTCTTTCTCACAATGTCAGCCAAAGAAACGAACCCAGCAACGGCGGTCCTGGATAGCAAGGAGCTCTCGCCAAAGCCCTTCTTGACGTTGACGGGGAGGTAGCTCCGGGCGGCGGCGGCAAATCCTTGGGTCACCTGCCTCCATGTTCGGTCCGTCGTTGGCCGGTGTTGGCGGAGGGCAAGTGCGCGGCATCAGTGGATGTCGACCTCCATTGCTGTTAGCAGGATGGGAGAGGGAGTGGCGGCTTCCAGATCACTTGCGTGAGGTTTCCGGTTCGAGGAGAAAAATCGAGGCAGGCAGGAGGTGGACAAAGCGAAACGGTTTCTAAGGGGAGAGGAAACGATATTCTTTTTTTAGGTTGTACCAATTTCTATCCATTTCCGCAACAAAATAATTTTGAACGGAGAGAATAGTATAAAGTTGAAAATTACAATACATGGATCACTTTAAACAGCACTAGAGAGGACAATCGTATTGGCACATAAGAAAAAACACCCGGTATAAAAGAATTTTATGGGTACAACTTTGAGGGAGTTGACCCCTGAACGCCTGACCAAATCGTCATCGTCCACCATCCACCAGCCACGGTGTTGATGTCATCATCGGAAGAGAAAATAGACACCATGCATCGATAAACCGTCAAAGCACCATTAATATTGCATCACTGCTTTGTGAGCCGTAGAAAGCGCCACCATGGACGGCGAAGCGCATATCAATGTGGCGCATTGGTCGGGGTTCAACCCTATGCTTCTTGGGTCTCAGATCCGCCGTCTGCAGTTGATGAATACCATCGGATCCGCCTGCCTGCAGACCATAACCCAATGCTAAATCAACAACCACAATGAAAGAAACTGCCGTCACCGCATGAAGCAGCGGCCGACGACGAACTCCTCTATGTACATGACACTTTTCACTCACTCCTCGAAGCCTCCACAAGAAGAAGCCCTGCAATGGGACCGAAGTGAGGAACACCTTATTCTCCGCGGTGGTG